CAATATGGCCTAATGTTCTTAATTCTTACGGAGGTTGAAATTTATGTTGGTGTTCAGAGGGAATTCCAATGATTTCTTGTGGGTCGTGGGGATCTATGTGGATATTTTATTAGTCCCAGAATCGCGCAGTGAACCCCGGGAGTCACATTCCTCTACCTTCCAACTTCCCGTATTGTTAATCCTTTCCTGATCTCCATTCACGAATGTTTTTGCCTATGGGCCTATGGGCTCAACATTTCTCCGGCATCTTGCTCGTGTTTCTTCAAGAAGATGCTGTTTTCGACAGATGCCGTACCCTTTTTTCTTCTCGTGCCGTTCCGTTTTTCTCAGGACGTTTTTCTCCTGAGCCGCACTCATCACTGCCAGATTTGCGAAATTTACAATTAACATTCGATCGGTACCGTCCCAGGAAAACGAGCTGCTACGCGAACACCTGGCGTCCGCCATCGCCAACTGCTGCAGCTGGAACAACAACTGCCACCAATTTGGCGCGCTGGACGCCGTGCGCCCGCTCGTATCCTACCTGGAGTCCAACAACAAAGCCGTGCACCGCACCACGGCTCTGGCCTTGCACCAGCTCTCCACCGACCCGTACAACTGCATCACCATGCACCACGCGGGCGTCGTATCGGTAAGCTCCTCGGCTCCTCGAAGTGCCTGTTGAGCAATGAGCACTAAGGGATCATTCAGAGAGTACGTCCGTCATTTTTTGCCGTTACGAACCTGCTCAGTTCAGCGAATGCACGCTCGCATAGCGCCTGGTGAGTAGGCAACATCTTGCCTGCTGCGCATGCGTGTACTGCGTGGTGGCCTACCCCGAGTCTCGCAGGCGCCAAGCTCTTGTAATTTGCCGAAAGAATCTTAGAAAAACGGACGTACTTTGTGGATAGCCCCTAACCAGGTAACCACCAGCGGCCCCGTTACCCACGCACCTTTCCTTTCTGCAGTATCTGCTGGAGACGATTGGTTCCTCGGACGAGGTACTGCAGGAGGCTTCCGCGGGCTGTCTCAGCAACATCCGCAAACTCGCCTTATCAGCAGAAAAGTTCAAATACGAAAACTGAAACGCCAAAAAGAGTTGGTTACTGTCAAGAAATACTATGGAATACAAATTATTTACAATTTTACGTCCCATTTTTTTTAACGCCTTATTAACGCTTTATTCTTAAGTATAATAAATCAGGTTGCTTTAAGCTTATACACTATTATACACTACACCACTTCACTTATTGACTCAAGGCCAACGCAGAGCTACTCAGACCATGTGACTCAATTACAGATGACTCATAGTCTCCTTAATTTCACATACTCAGCAGACGACATAACTTTGCCTCCTGCCAAAAAACATCGCGCGGTATGCTGGGTGCAGTATGTAAGTAGTGTGGCACACCCTCGAACAAGGTGGCACTCTTTGCGTTGCTGCATTCTATTCTATCCTACGTCTAGATTCGCAAATGATATTGGATGAACTCAGTTTTTACACATGTCCGCCCCCCCCCCCTCGCACATATCCTCAATGGCCATTGCATGCAGAACATGGTCTCAGCACGCCGCTCCTACGTGATAAGCGCCGTCATGATGTGCTCCTCGCCCATCCGCCTGCACTGTGCCATTTACGACGGGCCGTTTTCTCCGCAGATAACACTGTACTCCGCAGTGCAGCCACACGACGAGTTGAGGTTGAGTTTGACATGTGCCAAGTGTGTTTCGGTTAACACGCCGGTGCGCGCGGGTTTGCCTACTCCCTCTGATCGTGAGGTGCCACGCGTGTGAGGAGGCAAACCCGCTAAAGCAAAGAGAGTTGACCAGTACTGTCATCAACGTGCGCAAAACACACAGATAGAGTGCCGTCAAGGAGAACACGGTCGTTGAGCGCCTTGTACTGAGCGCGGAAGGCGGTGCTCGGCGAGGTGGTGAGAAGAAGAAGAAAAAGAACAACACGACCAAAACAACACAGCCTAACCTCTCATTCTCATTCACTCCGTTTCAAAATTCACAGCGTTGCATGATGCTCTCTCCCTTCCCCCGCCGCTTCCCATACTCTCCCGCCCGCTACGCCCTGCCGCCGCGCCTCGCCCCGGGGCGCGCCCTCCCCTAGAACTCTACACCGGCGGCCCCCCTCTCCAACCTCCACCCCTTGGCCATGGAATCCTTTCTGTTCGTGTTCAAAGTGGCCCTGGAGCGCGTGGTGCTGCTGCACGAGGGCGCCATGCTGCTGGGCGTGCCGCTGAGCGCGCGCGTCCAGTTCCTCGACCTGGCGCCGCTGGAGGCCGTCCAGGCCGTGCCGGCCATGCCTCAGGAGGGGGCCGGCGGCGGCAGGCGCCACAGCGTCACGTTCGACGGCTTCCCCGAGCGGCACACGCCGCTCTTCTACTCGGACTCGACCACCATGATCCGCAGCCTGCAGCGGCAGCCGCTCGTGGTCACGCTGTTCCAGCAGCACCCCGCCGCGCCCCTGCCCGTGGTGGTGGGCACGGCGCGCGCCCCCGTCTCGGAACAGTTCTGCGACCTGCTCTCCCGCGCCACCAAGTGCGCCGCGCGCCACCCGCTGGCCGCCGTGGTGCGCGGCGAGTACCCGGTGTGCGACGTGGACGAGGTGCAGGTGGGAGAACTCGCCGAGGGCCGCAGCCTCTACGCGCGCCGCGCCCCCCGCACCGAACACCGCCGCTGCTGCAGGTCGGCACCGTGTCCCTGACCGCTCGCCTGGTGTGCTTCGACGGCGAGGCACTGGAGCAGATGCGCGTCGAACGCGCCTCGCGCGCCGAGTCCACGGCGGCCTCCGTCTCGTCGCGGCGCTCGAGCGGGCCGTGCACCGACGACAGGCTGGTCACCACCACCACCAACGTGTGCACAAAGTGCATGCTGCCGAAGAGGCCGCCGAGCACCGGCGCCCACGCGCACACCAAGCAGCCCAGCCAGGCCACCATCTTGGAAGAGACCAACGATGTGTTCAGTAAGGTGAGCCGTAGAATCGTGCAGGAACAGCAGGAAGGTGGGGCGAAAAGCTTCTCTCCGATTCAACTCAAGCTCACGTTTCTAGGGCCTTGCCGCTGCAGGACCAACAGCGACAGCGCCTGTCCGAACAGCCAGCCCCTGCCTTAGCCGACGGACCAGCTCGCGCTCCGACGCCACGGAACCCAGCAGCAGTGACCTCGAGGCCAGATCAGACCTCGGTGGTCCCTGCACGAACCAGCATTCCGAGGCAGTCCACGTCCCCGCCGCCCAGGCTGCAGCCGCGGCTCAGTGAGGACCTCAGCGACCTGGGGGTGTACGGCCGGCAGCCGTCCAGGATCACGACGGCGCCGCCACCCTCCGGCGACCAGCGGCAGCTGGCGTCCCCTGCCCCGATGCGTGCCAGGTCGTCGACGCGGGGCGACGTCGAGGACGCGTCGGGTGACACACGCGACACCGGTGGTTCTGCGGAGAAGAGCGCGGTCCTCTCGGGCCCCACCGCCCCGGCGTACGCAGTGGTAGACCCTGGCACCCGCGCGCCCCCGGCGGCCCCGGCGCCCCCGGCAGCCCCGGCACCCCTGGCAGCCCCTGCGCCACCGGCGGCCCCGGCGGCCCCGGCGCCCCCGGCAGCCAATACGCCCCCGGCAGACCCTGCGCCCTCCGCAGCCCCTGCGCCCCCGGCAGCCCCTGCGCCCCCGGCAGGTCCGTCGCCACCGGCAGCCCCTGCGCCCCCGGCAGGTCCGTCGCCACCGGCAGTCCCGGCGCCCGCCCGGAAGGCCGGTCCTGCCCGGCCCGCTGAGGCCACCCACCCCCGAGCCGGGGCTCGGGCGGGAGCCCCGGGGGCCTCCAGGGTGCTCGCACCGTGCGTCGCCATACCCTCGCCGTTCAGTGACGCAACGCCTCGCGGGTCCGTGCCCTCGACCGGGACGGCGCGCAGCGCTCAGGTGGCGGTCCCCAAGGCCGTGGAAAGCAGGAACCTCCCACCTCCAGCTCTTGAGGTCGGCACGCGGGGGGCCGCACCGGGGCCCGGGGGCGCTAAGGCCGTCAGCTCCAAGGACGAAGGCGCCCCACGCGCCACGCAGGGAGTCCCCGCCGCTACCGTCGGAGCTGCCGACGGGACCGCGCCAGGCTCGCGAGGCAACGGGAGGGGTGCAAGCTCCACCGCAGCCGGCACGCAAGCCGTGGCAGCCGCCTCCGGTGTGACCAGGCTGCAGGGCAGCGAGGTCGCGGCCCCCAACGGGTCGGCGCGGAGCCCGCGCAACGTGTTCACGTGGGAGGCTGCGACCCACCACAGCGGGGGGGCTAGGCGAGGTGGCGCCGGGGGCGCTGCCCCCCCGGTAATGAGAGCAGGCAGGGCCGCGGACAGCGACTGGAGGGCCGCCGAGAAGGAGAGGTAAGAAGATTAGAAAGGAGAGCGGCTTGGGTGACCACTGCAGTGGTTTTTCCGTGGGGACCAGTCCCGTTCACCCTAGGCAGGAAGGCAAGGCGGGATACCGGGTACACGTACGGGTGCGTGGTGCTTGTGACCCAGGGTCACCACCCACTTCCTGAAGCTGCGCGGCGGGCTGGCGCGCGCCTCCGACTTCGCCTGGGACATGGACCTGGACACCCCCCTCGCCAAGTACGGGCACAGGGACTGCGTCATACCCCCGCGTCCCGTCCCCGGCAACCAGGGCTGGCTCTGGAACACTGCCTCCAACAACTACCAGGTACCAGCCGCCCCCTTGCCTTAGGGCTCGTCCATAGAAAGTACGTCCGTTTTTCTCGGATATATTCGACAAATTACGATGGATGTGCTGGGCGCCTGCGAGGCTCAATGTAGGCCATCCCGCGATACAGGCGAGCACTGAAGGAGTTATGTTGCCTACCTATCAGGCGCTATAAGAGCTTGAACGGGCTGAACCTGGTAGGGTTGTACCGGTGGATGACGAACGTACTTTCTGGGCGATCCCTATTATATGGGCCATCATGAGGGCAGGGGTCCCAATAACGCCGGCTGGTCGTGTTCTCCCCGCAGCCCCGCCGGGGATGGTACCCCGGGGCGATACCCCGGGGGATCGGCCTCGGCCCGCGGAGCCTGCGCACCACCCGCTCCGAGTAGAGGGTGCCTTATCTCCCACCGCCCCGCCCTCGCCCTTCACTGCGCTCGACAACGACTCAGCGAAATATATTCTCATAGTCATGCGACACGGAAGAGCGGTGTTCAAGATGCCATCGACAATAGAAATACACATTTTTATGCGAACATCGTGATTTTGTTATTGATGTGACGTTTATGAAAAGACTAACATTTTGCTTCGATTGTTTCATATAATTCAGGTAGCTGTCAAACTTTGTTTCCATTTTGCCTATATGTCAACAAACACAATGGAAATGGTGTTGCTTCTCCTAACAATTGTGAAAAAAAATAATAAGGAATAGAAAAGAAACTTGAAGAAACTCCGTTGTGTGGGGAGGCACGTCGTGTTACGCCCCCCTCTGACCTAATAAGGCGGGCAAGTCACCGATTGAATCGATGTAATAGTCGGGTAACAGTTCCGGATCACAGGTCTCCAAGTCTTTCAGCTGTGTCATGCCCGACAGAACGAGTAGCTTTTTCATTCCACACGCGTTGGCAACGCCCATATCTTGAACCAGCCTGAAACAGAAAATGTGTTTCCAATTTGGGTGGTCATTCACTTTTTGGGGGGTTTATTGCTTATTGCTGTACTGATTGTCCCATATTCCCCGTTAATTTATTTAAAGTACTCCCGAGGTGACAGGAGGGGAACGTTGGGCGTCAAGTTCTCTATTGCCCGAATCCCCGCAGTAGGGCGCTCTGCGCTCTGGGCGGGCTACCGTGTTCACACGGCTGTTTGGCGGGTCGGCCTATCTGGTGCGATACCACGGGGAATCGGCCTCAGCCTGCGCACCACCGCCCGGTCCGGGTATCCGAGTATCATTAGCGTCACCTCGTGAAACGTTAATTGTGGGGACACCTTCACAGCTGTTCTTTGCCGCACACAGGTGTGTGGGTGGGTTGCCTACTCGCTCGGGCCGTCAGACTCCATAGTGCGAGACGGTAGGCAAGCCCACCAGCACGCCTGCAATCGGTACAGTTCAACTAAAAAAGAGAGACAAGTACAGGTATATGGGATGCCCTGTGCGTTTTAAGGCGATTCTAAAGGAGGGGAAAACAGCGTGAGCAGTGACCATGTGCCCTTCATCCCCCCACCCCTCCTTTCTTTTCGGTCACACTCGCCCTCTTCGTACTTACGAGTCGCCCATGAAAATGGTCCTGTCCATGTTTAGATTGTGGATCTCCTGAAGGTACTCGCTGACCATCATGGGTCCTGGTTTTCCAATGAGCTCCGCTTTTCGGCCACTGCATTCTTCAAGTGTGCGTATAAAATGTCCTGGCCCTGCAACGGTTGGGTTCCGCGTTAAATTGCTCCTTAGTTTTGATTCAAGTTTTTTCAGCAAGGTTCTGCTTGACTCTTCTCACTACCTACCGAGCAAGATCTTTCCCTCGTCGAAGGTGACAAAACTATCTGTGGCCCCAACTAGAAACATGCAGTCTGGTCTTTTGAGGTGGTTGGTAGCCTTTACGAGGTCCATGAAGGTGAGATTCACGTCCAGGTCGACAATGACAGCTCCGATATCAGTATCTTCGTGAATGGCTCTGAGCATGGCGCCTAAGTCTTCCTCCATAAGATCTGAAGTCTGTAGAGGAAAAAGAAATAACTGAAAGCGGGAATTCATCGAGGGCGGTTTTAAAAGAATTCATCAGTTACCCTTTTATCTGGTACAACGGCAACACCCCGAGACCGTAGCTCATCCTTAAAGTGCTCCACACCCAACACAAACGCCTTTTTCTTGAATCCTATTTTTTCTAAATATCGACCGATGGCGATTGCTGGATAGACCACCTCATTCTGAAAAGTATAAAAATATATTAGTGGGAGAGAAACACGCGATCCACCATTTGGGTATAACACTTTGCATACATGCATACCTTTTGAACCGCGAACCCAAGTCTCTCAAACTTTCTGAATGGGGGTATAACAGAATTGTTTGTAACGAAAAGTATTTTTTTCCCTGCTGCTCTCAGGCTTTCCAATCCTTCCTTAACGTGGGGAATTCCTCGGAGTGGTGTCCATAAAACACCTAAACACAATAACAAGAAATGTGGTCCCTATCAAATGTCACTCTCTTCTTAGATCAATGTCTTATCCAATCAAATATTACCCTACCAACAGAGATTTGTCACAAAACGTCAGATTGACGTATTAGTGATGTGAAAATGACTTTTTGGGGTCCAAAAAGATGTCATAGTGATGCGAATTTTCATCATTTTGACGTTTTGTGACCAATCTCTGTTTGTAGGGTAGTAGTTCACATGCGTGCGATCCACCTCAAGCACAGTTATTATCGCCAACCACTCACCATCGCAATCGGACACTATTGTATCAAATTGCTGCATGAAATCATCCACGTTTTCTTTGGTGAGAGCCAGTGGTGGCCTCTTCGTCTTGGTCCACGCTGCCCCCATGGTACGTCTCGCAGGGAGTAATGCACGGCGCTGAGGGGAGACCGGGTGCGTGTTTGACGCGTGATGCTTGTCGCTCCGTGCGACACTGAGTACAGTGCGACAAGCGACACACTGAGGAGAAAGGAGGGGACGAGTGGAGAGGAGCAGCGCCTGCAGCGCCTGTAGGCAGCGCCGCCGAGGTGCTTCCCCCACCCGCGTCACCCGCGTCTCCTGTCTGTCCACGGTCGTGTAGAATGCAGCGCCGTGCGTCCACCCCCACCCCACTACCCTCCCACCCCTCATCAGTAGTTGGACCATGGTCAAAAGCCTAGCAGTAGCAGTGTGTTGATGGCATTTAAAAAGAAAATTCAAGAAAGATTTGAATTATATTTCCATTCTGTCGATTAACAATTAGTGTGCACTTTATGTTAAGGAGATTTTTTGCCTAGTTAAGTTTCAGGACAGAGACAGTCACAAAGCTCCTGGTAAACTTCTGATCGGCTATCTTACCACCATGATGCCAATTTGTGAAGTAATTGTGTCTTACTAGCTAATTTCAAAACAAATGATTAGTATTACTGTATGATCATTTTCTTTCTGATGTGTAGATGATTGTAAGAGTCGAATAAAGGAACGGAGGGAATCTTCAAGAGCACAGAAGAAGCCTGACAAATGTCAGGGTAGGGAGGTTCAAACGAGGGCTCAGTGTGGTGTGTGGTACTTTGCTCCACACATGTCTCTCTGATGCTGCATAAAAGATGAGGCACCACACTCACCTCAACCTTAAGCACCTCT